ACCTAGAAAAGAACAATAAAATAAAATAAAAAGAAGCTATATGGACTACTTCCCTCAAGAGTAATGTCCAAGTGGTTCGTCCTCAAGAAGAGTCCTGTACCTTTGTTTTAATCCGACTTTGACCCTCAAGAGACCCGTCGACAAGCGTCCGTCGTTGGGCCAAGTCAGTTACTCCTAATGTGAGTACAGTCAACTATACGCAACAACACATATACAATATTACAACATGTTCCATGTCTATGTACACTACAATACAGTATCAAGGCAAGTCTCCCACCCCACACTTAAAATTGTGCATTGTCCCCAATGCACACCATACTAATAAGAGGATAAAAGAAACTCCCTGTTAGGCCAAAGGCCGAAGCACTAGCAGCTCATGGGGTACTAAGACTTCTCCCAATCTTGGTCCTTCGTGCGGGTACCTCACACTTAGTTCCAACCAATAGTTTGTTGTTACATCCTTCCAATGGCTTTGTGTTCCATGTTCCACTTTTCTCGCCACTTGGACGATATGAACTGTGCACCTAGCTTGGAATCAAGCTTGTGACCACGAGCGATAGGGGGTGGTAAGTTGATTATCGAGCCGAGCTTTAAATTCTTCATTTTGCACTTCTTGGCTCTCATGTGAGGAATGTCATTTTGTTTTTTTGTTTCCTCAAATTTTAAAATGTATGGTTGTTGCCTTTCCTCCTCGCAATCCCCCATGGACTCATGTAGTTCAATTTTTATATCACTATACAATTCTAATGTTGAAAAATGCTTGGAATGTGACTTCAAACCTTCATTTTGCAATTTTTCTATTCTGACATCCTCTTCTTCCCCCAGACTAGAGTCATTCTCAACCAGATTTTTATTTACACCGGTTGATTCTAAGTCCATATTTTTCTCGGCATCATTGGTACTCATGGGGTCGGTTGGCGGAGGTTCAATTCTTGACTCTTCAAACATTAGCTCACTTTCTTCCTCATTTTCAAGAATGGTTTCCAACATGAGTATTATTTTCTCATTTTGAGCATTTGAGAGTTCTTGGTTTTGATTAAGTGCCAAGGAATTTTGGAGACTATTTTCCAAAAGCTCCTCCAAGGCACTTTGTTCTTTGTGTCCTCCTTCAAGTAAGCACTCCAACATGAGCTTGAACTCTCCCTTTCGG